CCCATCACATGCTTTGGTCTTTCCGAAGCCCTGGCTCACCAGTGTGTCCTGCCAGTCTGCATAGCACAGGGCAGAGGGGAGGCTGAGGGCAGGCTCTGCATTTCAGATAAAGACAACTGCAGCCCCAGGCCTTCTCTGGGCAGGCCTCAAGTGGTTTGGTCTGAGGACCGGCTGGCAAAGATTCCCACTCCCGCCGCTGGTGCCTGCTCTTTAGATCCGACCACAGGGCTGCAGTGGATGTGGTGTCAACAATGCTTTGTGTCTCCACAGATCTGTCTTGTCTGCAAGTTCTATGTAAATGGACAAGCATACATTAGTAGTTTGTGCCTTTTCATTGCTAAATAATTCCATTGTAAGTAATTTTGTTTATCCATTCACCAGTCAATGACTTGTTTTCTGTTTTTGGCTTTATACATCATGCTGCTATAAATATTCACAGACAAGCTTTTGTGTATAGATACATTTTAATTATTCTCAGACAGATACCTAGAAGTAGAATTGCAAATGTATATGCTAAGTGTCTGTTTAACTTTTAAAGAAACTACAGACTGTTTTTCAAAGTGGCTGAATCCTTTTACATTCCCATCAGCAATGGTCAGAGGCTCTAGGCCTGCACCCACACCAACACTGGGTGTGCATGTGCACTCCTTTCTGTGACAGCCGCCCTTGTCCATCCCTGTGGCCACTCATCCTCCCTTCTGTGGTACCTGTGCATTTCTCTAAGAACTAATGGTGTCAAGCATGTCTCCATATGCTTATTAGCCATTTGTATACCTTTTATTGAGAAATGTCTATTTAAGTCTAGATATGGTTATAGAAGTTCTTCTGACTCGGCACCTATGGCTCAAGTGGCTAAGGCGCCAGCCACATACACCTAAGGTGGCAGGTTTGAATCCAGCCTGGACCCGCCAAAACAACAATGACGGCTGCAACTAAAAAAAAAAAAATAGCCAGGCACTGTGGCGGGCACCTGTGGTCCCAGCTACTTGGGAGGCTGAGGCAGGAGACTCGATTGAGCCCAGGAGTTGGAGGTTACTATGAGCTGTAATGCCATGGCACTCTACCCAGGGGGACAGCTTGAGGCTCTGTCTCAAAAAAAAAAAAAAAAAAAAAAGAAGTTCTTCTGCATTATCAAAGATACATTTGTGGACATTTTCTTCTAGTCTGTGGATTTTCTTTTTGTAATGAAAAGCAAAAGCACGTATTTAAGTTTTAACAAAGTTTTGTTTACCAAAATCTTCTTTCATGAATTGTGCTTTTGGTGTCATGTCTAAGAAATCTTTGCCTAATCCAAGGACACAAAGACTTACTCCTATGTTTTGTTTTATAAAATGGATAATTTTAGCTCTTACATTTAGGTATAAAACATTTTGAGTTGATTTTTGGGGGGGTGTTTAGTATAAGAGTCTAAGTCCCCTTTTTTTTCTTTGCATGGAGATGTATGAATATCACTTGTTCCCACACCATTTGTTAAAAAAATTATCTTTTTTTCCCACTGAATTGACTTGGCATCATTGTAAAAAAAATCAATTTACGAATAAGAGATGAACAATATGAAGAATATAGAAAGGATATAACAGAGCTGAAGGAACTGAAGCAGTCAATTAAGCAGAAATTAAAGATGCAATAGAAAGTATCGACAACAGATTAGATCATGCAGAAGGAAGAATCTCAGAGGTAGAGGACAAAGCTCTTGGGATAACTCAGACAGTTAAAGAGGCAGAAAAGAAGAGAGAGAAAGCAGAACATTCACTGACAGAATTATGGGACTCTATAAAGTATTCAAACATATGGGTTATAGGTATCCCAGAAGGGGAAGAAGAGTGCCCCAGATGAACAGAAGCCATTCTAGAGAATATTATAAATGAAAATTTCCCAAATATCACCAAAGATTCTGACATATTCCTTTCAGAGCAATATCGGTCCCCTGATCGCCTCAATTCAAATAGAGCTTCTCCAAGACACATTGTGATGAATCTCTCTAAAATCAAGACAAAAAAAAGATTTTGCAAGCTGCCAGGAGTAAGCGCCAACCGACCTATAGGGGAAAATCCATCAGGATGACCACGGACTTCTCTGATGAAACTTTTCAAGCCAGAAGACAATGGTCATCTACCTTTAATCTACTTAAACAGAACAATTTCCAGCCCAGAATTCTATATCCCGCTAAGCTAAGCTAAGCTTTAAAATTGACAGAGAAATCAAATGTTTTACTGATATGCAAATGTTGAGGAAATTTACCACAAGACCAGCTTTACAGGAATACTTCAACCTGTTCTACACACTGACCATCACGATGGACCTTCAGCAAATTAAACACCCAGAAATTAAAGGACAGAACCTAACTTCCACAATGATGCAAAAGACAAAACTAAGCAATGGACTTTCACAAAATAAGATGAATAGAACAATACCACACTTATCAATTATCTCAATAAATGTCAATGGCTTGAATTCCTTACTAAAAAAGCATAGATTGGCTAATTGGATTAAAAAACACAAGCCATCTATTTGCTGTCTGCAGGAAACATATCTCATGTCAAAAGACAAATTAAAACTCAGAGTTAAGGGTTGTAAGTCAATTTTTCAGTCAAACGGAATTAAGAAAAAAATCAATTTACCATAAATGTAAGAGATTATTTCTGGATTTTTATTCTGTTTAATTTTTCTTTCTGTCCTTAAGCTAAAACCATACTCTTTTTGATTACTCTGGCTTTACAATAAGTTTTGAAACCAAGCAGTGTACTTAGTTATTTACATACCAACTTTGTTGTTTACGTAGTTTTTATATAGTATCATAAGGACTTCCTGCATACAGAGTCAAGTCACTGTAAATTAAGAAGCTCACTTCTGCCCTCCCTATCTGTACACATTCCCTTGTATGTTCTTGTCCAAAAACTGGGTGGGCTCACTAGGATAATGTTGAATAGAAGTGGTGAGCACTTATCTCTTCACCTTATTCTCAATCTTTGGGGGAAGATTTTATTCTTTTACCATTAAGAATTATATAAGCTATAGGTTTTTTATAGGCATCCTTCATAAAGTTAGGAAAATTTCCTATTGCTCTTAGACTTAAAAAAAATTTTAATCATGAACGGTGTTGGATTTCGTTGAATACTTTTTCTGGGTCCATTGAAATGATCATGAGTTTTTTTGCCCTATATTCTATTTGTATGTTGTAATCTTTGATTTTTGGATATTAAAACAACCTTGCATTCATGAGATAAATTCTATTTGGTCATGATGTTTAATATTGTTTTATATGCTGTTGGATCTGGTTTGCTAGTATTTTGTTAAGAATTATTACAGTATGGGTTTATGTGTGGTTTTCTTGTGATGTCTTTTTCCTGTCTTTGTTAAAGCAATACTAGCCTTATAGAATGAGCTGAGTCTTCTCTCTTCCTCTACATTCTATAGGTGTGTAAGATTGGTGTTATCTGTTTTTTAAATATCATGTAGAATCAAACAGCAAGGTTATCTGGGCCTGGGCTTTTCTTCAGGTGAAGTTTTTTTTAAATAATGCATTCTATTGTGGAAATTTTATTTCATTTTGTTTTATTTATTTCAGATTAATAGGAGGACAGAAATGATTAGGTTACACTGTTTGCATTTTTAAGGTAAAGTTCAAGTTATAGTTGAGCCCTTCACCCAGCGGGTGTGCTGTACACCCTTATAGTGTGCCATTAGGTGCAAACTTACCAATCACCCTCTCCCCTTCCTTTCCCCTCCCCCCACTTGAATTCTTAAACTATTATTTCAGTTTCTTTACTTGTTACAAAAGTAAATTTCTATAGAGCTATTCAGGATTTTCAGTTTCCTTTTAAGTCAGTTAAGGTAATTTATTTTTTTCTAGGAATTTTTCATTATCTAAGTTGTCTAATTTGTCGGTAATAAAGTTACTTCCGAAATTCACTTATCCTCTTAATTTCTGTAGGATCAGTCGTGTTGCCCCATCTTAGATTCCTGACTTTGTTAATTTATGCTTCCTCTCTTTTTTCTTGACCAGTTGAGTTCATACAATGAGGCCCCCTTCCAAGTTCTAACAAATCTTATGGCAGCCACAGGAACTGATTAACAGTGGGCACAGACTTAGCCTGAGAGACACCATGTGTGTGATTGTGCTGGTGGGTGCTGTACCACAGAGCCTTGGTCCTCGGCTTGTGCCTGACCAAGAGCTCCTGTCCTGCATCCATGTGGGGTGAGCCAGGGAAGGGCTGGAAATGAGGGAAGAGATCACGCCTTGGCATCTTTGACTACAAGTCAAGGATAGGTTCCGATGAGGCTGTGTTTTGAACTTGATCTCTACCCCAACCATTCTTTCTCCTTCCCTATCAATACAACCCACTCCCTACCTCTGACCTCATCTGCCACAGTGTACCAAGGAGAATGTGGAAATTAATGTTTATTGGGCCAATATCTTATTGTATTATTTCCCGTTATTCCAGTTCAGTGGGATCCTCCTATTCAGCACTGGTGTGTTATAGTGACACTTCTCCCCTCTATTCACAGTGGGCAGGAGCGAGAGCAAGTCTGACCACAATTTGGACTTCCTGAGAAGAAATAACATAGCATTTGGTTTTTCTGATCCAAAGGCTTTAGACATAAAGAATGTCTGGACTGGACATACTCTGTCTTAGTTACCAGCTCTCCTAGGAGGAGGCAGAGATTTTCATATTGACTCACCCTTATGAGAGAGCATCTGTGATGGCCTGGTGTCTTCCCAACAAGGAAATAGACTTAGGATGCAGAAAATGCTTAATTACGACTTCATGCCTTTCCCTGCTCATCTCATCCCACATACGCATTTATAAAAATACTGTTCTTGTAAGGATGTCTGTGTATACTGATTGAAGCTGCACTGAAGCCAGGATTCTGTGTGCTAGAGCTTTGAGTAATTATTAACAGGAGGAAGTAGAGAAAATTGAGGGAGGAAAGCTACCCATGTCCAAACCCGGACATAAGGCAGAAAATACAGCTGAGTCCATTTCCTTCTTCCCAGATCAAGATGGGGAGAGCAGAGCGCTCTGGGCATGACGGCTGCGTGGTCCCAAACCCACAACTCCTCTGCACAGGCTGCATCCCCACCAGGGTAGCCTCAAATGTTCATTGTCAAGTTGATGAACTGGGAAAAAAAAGGGAGAGAGAACAATGAGGGCTTGTCCTCCCACGTCCCCTCCAGCCTCAGGGTGATCTTGCTTTGTTTACGTCACAGGAAACCTGGCATTTCATCATTTTGCCTGAAAATTTGAACTCACATCTCAACAGAAAACTATTTAAAAAAAAAAAAAAAGGAATTCTGGGCAGCGCCAGTGGCTCAAAGGAGTACGGTTCTGGCCCCATATGCTGGAAATTGCGGGTTCAAACCCAGCCCCGGCCAAATAAATAAATAAATAAATAAATTCTTAGCACTTAAAGTTTTCTAGAAGTCCCGAGGTCTTTTTGAGAGAGCTCATGTTGAGCACAGATGGTAAAACAGAGAGACAGGAAATGTGCTTCTCCCTGCTGAGAGCACAGCCTGGCGAGGGACCCTGGGCAGGGTGGTATGAGGTGCCTTCTCCTCTTTGATGAGGGGTCCCCTTGCTTTTGGGAAAGAGGTGGCCCTCCATCATGGAGGGGCAGAGGGACAGATTCCATGGCTGGAGCTCAGTACAAGTGAGCTTGTCTGGAGAAGGAGCATGGAGGGTCACTTCCTCTCCTGAGTACAGCCTGCCTGTTCTTAATGCCAGCTTCCTATCACAGCATGGAGACTTGGGGGAAACATGATTATGTGGGATACTTTCCTCCCCTTTACCCCCACCTCATGTGGGATGCAGGGGCCAAAGAAATGGAGGATGCTCAGGCTCTTTTTGCAGAGGGACTACAGGTGAGGCCATCTCAAGTTCAAGTGCCCCTGCCCCCCACCTAGGACGCAGGGTCTGTCGCTTCCTAGGTGGGGGGCATGGGTGCTTGAACTTGGCTGCACACTGGACTCATCAAGGGAATTTAGGAAACATCAGTGCTTGGATCTCACTCTCAGAGGTTCAGAATTTAATCAGCTGGGGTATGGCTGGGGCATCAGGATTTTAACTCTCCCCAGGTGAAGTGAACGTGCAGCCAGAGGAAGGTGGATTTAAAGCAGGCGTCTTCAAACTATGGCCCACGGCCACATGCAGCCCGCCTAGGACATTTATCCGGCCCTCCGGGTGTTTTTGCCGCCACTGCCTGTCCTGCTTAGCAGCGGACTCATCCCAGGGCTGCAGTTCGGCCCTCCAATGGTCTGAGGGACAGTGAACTGGCCCCCTGTTGAAAAAGTTTGAGGACCCCTGGTTTAAAGGGAGAGAAGAAAGGTTTCCCCTGAAGTCTTAGATATGGCCAGCTGTGGGTGGGGTAGGAGCTTAGTCCAGGCCCTACACACGTGCACACGGGGACATGGGGTTGGAAGTTGTGGCACCTTGAACATGAAGCAGTAGGACGCCGCCTCCTTGCTGCTAGCACCCTGGGGCCTGGGCTGGCCAGGAGGCCTTTGAGCACAGACCCGTCCTCACTCCCTTTCCACCATGGACAAGGGGCAACTGTCGCACTTTCTTCCTGCTTTTTAGGGGCAACACCTTAAAGCAAATGAGAAGTGAAGATGGGCCTAGGGGTCCCTTCTTGTTTTTGTAACAGGGGAGTTCGAGTGCGTACATCTTTCCCTGGAATCCTGGAGTGTTTTATACAGTCATCAATCAAAAGAATTATATTTATTGAATGCCACCTACATGCTGAAGGCAAAAGAGAAGACTAGAGAAAAAAAATCCCCTGTTTCTGTCCTCCATCAAATTATATATCCAGGGATCTGAGATGCACACATGAGAAAGTTAGGGATGTGTCAACACAATAAATTGCCAAATTCTTTGATATTATTATAAAGCAAATTGTCAGCATAAGATTAAGATATAGATCTCTTCCTGCAATTGGTGAAACTGAGCACAGAGGATGATAATCGATCCAAATCAGGGTACAAAAGAGGGGAGGAGATTCCACCCTGTCTAAACATCTTTATCTTGGAATAGGCAATTAAAGGTTATCAGGGCAGGTGTGGTGGCTCATGCACTCTGGAAGGCTGAGGTGGTGGTTTGCTTGAGCTCAGGAGTTTGAGACCAGCCTGAGCAAGAGTGAGACCCTGTCTCTACTAAAAATGGAAAAAAAAAACTAGCTGGGCATTGTGGTGGGCACCTAAAGTCCCAACCACTTCAGAGGCTACATCAAGAGGATCACTTGAGTCCAAGAATTTGAGGTTGCTGTGGTACCATACCCAGGGTGACAGAGTGAGACCCTATTTCCACAAATATAAAAACAAAAAAAAATGTTGTCCAAACCTTAAGTTACTACTGAATTTGGGGATGAGCTGACGGATCCAGTGAGTATGGAAATGGGTAGAGGAGAGCCCCCAGAGACTGGGGAGGAGGCCAGGCTGAAGATAAAACAGAGCTGGATGGAAAGACATAGGGAGAGAAAGAAAAAAAGGGAAAACACAACTTATAGACACCACTGAAAGGAATCATTCTGTACCGTCCCTCTGTCAACATCCTCTACCTTTACGGGCAGAGGAAACCTTGGGCTCCTGCTAAGAGGAGATTCTATTCAGCACATCTATGTGGAGCCAGGCTCTCTGTATTTCTGACAATCACTCTAGCGCTGCTGCTGGCCTGGGGACCATCCCTGAGCAGCTGGGTCCACAGCGGTCCCCTGCCGAGAGGGCCATCAAAATGCCTTGGAACGCTTCTTCCAGGCCTCTGCAAGTCTGATCTGCACTCTCCACTTCCGGCATCACTGTTGTGGTAGCCCCTCCCCCCACCCCACCCCGCAAACATTACGGGAACCCCAGCAGGACATGAGCAAGAGAGAGTGGATAGATGAGGCTGGTAGGCAGGCCGCGGGAGAAAAGCCAGAGGGACAGGAGGAAGAGGACAAGAAGGTCAAGTTTGCTCATTCACACCGTTCAAGGTGGATAGTCTCTCTGTGCCCCCATTTCCACATCTGCAACCTGAGGGCACCGGTGGTGCTCAGTCACAAGGTTACTGTAGTGATGCGGTGGGTTACTAAGTAAATAGTGCTTCAGAAAGTACAAGCCACTAGATATTAACACCCACAGGAAATTATACATTCAGCAAGCGTCTGTGAGCTTGGACTCTGCCAGGCGCGGGCTTGGCCGTACCTCGTTTATGTTGAGATGAATGAACTTGTTCTTCTCGCTGAGAGCCTGGAACACCCCTGATGGAGAGAGAGGAAAAAGGCGTCCTTGTACAGGCAGTTCCTTTGATATTCTTAAGTCGTCGTCCAGCAACCAAGGGCCTGTCTGTGACGCCTGCGAGCCAGTGGCTCCACCTGCCGGTAATTGAGGATTTTCTGGCACGGCAGCTGGGGGAGGGCTGGCAGACGGGGAATTTCTTTTCCATCCCTGCAGCCAGACAGCGGCCTTTGGAAAATGCTAGTCAGCTGGTGAGCAGCTCCTGGATGATAAATAGTTCCCCTCTTTTACCCTTTGAGGTTATAGATCCCTTGAAATCCCTGGACCCCAGAACACAAAGCACGTGTCTATAAAGTTTTGCATGAATCTGAAAACTGCTAAGTCTCTCTCAGAGCATCCCATGATGGGAAGGGACTGTGGTGGTGTCAAAGGGCAGGAGAGGCCAGTGGCACAGGAGGAAGAGCCAGCAGCGAGCTGGGTGCTGGGGCAGTGTGACGGCACAGTGTAACCGGGTCAAAGCATTCCCTTTCTGGCATTTGGTCTCTTTACCTTGGAAAGATGAGGTCTGGCTGGCCAACCTTGGCCTCACTAGAGAGTCTGCCCAGCACATTAACAATGCACCCCAAAGGGGCTGTGATCAAATGGGAAGTGGGAGAGACCCAACAACCAAACGTGCTCAGTGGGTCTTGTTTGGATCCTGAGCCAACCAAGCCACTGTGACAAGGTGGCCTGGGAAATTTTAGTGTGGGCTACTCATTCGAGGACATTGAGGACTCACAGAGAATCTTCTTAGGTATGCAAAGGGCATGAAGGGGATGGTAAAAACAAGTTTATCTGTTTGTGATATTTACAGAGGAAAGGAAAGGACATCATTTCTGAAACCTTTTAGTAAGTAATTCGGAGAGGGGGTATGCATTAGGGAAACATAGGAAAAAGATAGCAAGATGACTGTAGCAGCCCATACAGCCTGTGACTAGGAGGAGTGAGTTATAGGAAATACCTGTAATGGAACACGTTGGTGGAAACGGCCTGGAGATAGTTTTAGCTCTCCTAACAAGCATGAGAGCTCGCGAGTTGAGAGCAGTGGTGAATGGGTAGTCTCTACACCTGTGGTGTTGAGAGGCATGAAATCGGCCTTATATTAGGCTGGAGGAGAAGGCAGTCAGAAAAGCATGTGTATTCTATCCTGGACTCACTCTGACTCTGTCTCCTCTTCTGCCTGCAGAACTCCAGCTCGGCGTCTCTCTGCCGAAGATTACCAAGCTCTACTAAAGACTAAGATCTATCTATTCTAAGAAGACTGCTTTACTCTCTCTAAGACACACACTTTCTCTCTCTCTCTCCAGCTAAAGTAGATAGCCTTCAAGCACCTAAGAGAAACTGTTCCTAAGCAAGGTAGCTTAGCAGTCCACGTCCAGAACCTACCTAAGGCGGGCCTGAGACCTGGCCAGTCCCGGGCCCTGACAAGTGGTGTCAGAAGCAGATCCTGACAGATGACAGTTGTTGAGGCTGAGTGTAAAGCTCTGGGAACCACCTGGGCAACTTTCACATATCCAGATGCTGCATACCAGCCTGAGAGTCTAGTTTAATTGGTCTATTGTGCAGCTCGGTCACCAAAACTAATCAACTCCAAAGGATTGTAATGTGTAGCAAAGTCTGAGAGGCATGGAACCTGTTATGATTCTTTATATTTAAGTGGATGACTGCAAATTTTCATAAGAAGTTAAAATAATATGGGGATAAAGCTCCAGCCCAGATGTGAGGCTCCCAGAGTGGATAGTATTGAGCCTAATAAGCCTTCTGCCTAAGATTCCTCCACTACACAAGCAACCTGAGAGCCCATCCCCTCACCCCCTGCCCCCAAAGGATTAGATCTGAGGGGATTTAATAATTTAAAGGGAAAGAGCAGTTGAGAGGAGAGAAACTATCTGATCTCATTATTTCTAGGGTCAGCTTGGCCACCCTATAAGCCTAGTAAGTGACTATCTTTGGGAGGTCTCTTTCTAGGACACACCTCTCACTGGCTGCTGGCAGGCACTTGCAGAGAGCCCCCCTTCACAGTTTGACACACAAGGGAAGGCCTGACTGCCTCTCTCCAAACCTCTCATCACTTCTCAGTCAGTATATAGTCCCCGCCTGTCTACTAAGTATGGCTGCCCTGGAGCTCACAGTCCCCTGGACAGAGACCTGCTTTGAGCCAGTCATTACAGTGTCTGTCACCACAGCAGAGGGAGCTGCTGCACAGTGTAAGGCAGGGTCACAGATCCTGACTTTCTTTACCAGGTACTTTAAGTGGCCTATCAAACACATTTTAGAAAATGCCAAGCAAAGCCAGACACATAATTCATGAAGCCAGGGCAAAATGGAAACGCAGGCCCCTTTTCAGGATGGTGACACCCGCGCATTACCCCTGGGCACCAGACCCTTTGCACCTGCCCAGATGGTGAGCCCTTGTAGCTGCCATGGTGCTGAGCTACAGGCCCTGGACACACATCATTCAGTCTCACACGGACAAGTGCCTGTAAGGGAGTCTGGGCATGATGACGCGTGCAGGTACCAAGGAGCGCCTACACATCCTCTCTCTCTCTTTCTGGTATAACAAGTCTTGTTTGCATTAACCGGGTCAATGTCTAGGGCTCACAGAAGGTGGGGGATGGGAGGACTGAGGATTTACTGATTCTATACACTACGATGGCATTTGACCTGAAATGGAACGTTTCCTGATGTGAGACGGCACACGCCCAGCCCCATCATCCTCCAACAGAGACACTCTGACTGTGGAAAGAGTGGTGAAGGTAAGAAATGCACTGCCCCTTAGCTGACCACATGGGCACAGCTGTCCACGCAGATCTCACAATGGCTCTCTCTGATCTGTCTTTGCTATAAATTCCCTGCATAATTAAGTGCTCATGGAGGGTGACCCAAGATACTACCTGAGGTGAACCGTCCCCTACAGCTGAGCACAGTCTCAGCCTCACTGGACACTTACGACTTGCGTTCTCCAGCCGGACCAGGCAATTGAGGAAGTCATCGAAGCCCAGCTGGAGCTCCTCGTCCGCATACCTGAGGACAATCAGCTGTAGGAGGTGGCTGCTTAGCTGAAAGCCTGTGGGAAGGACAGGACCCACTCAGGACCCCCTCTGTCTGAGCCCCAAGGGAATTCGTGCCTCTGGGGAAGCTCCCAGTCAGCTGAAGGGTGAGCTAACAACAGGGAGTCCCCGCACCGCTGTGCCAAGCTTGAGTCCCCAGGCACCGGGAGGGGGGGGCAGTACTAGCGAGCTCACAGGTGTACTTTTAGTACTTAATGGCTTTGGAATTTAATGAGTTCATGGTCTTGCTTTTAACACCAACCACACCCACAGGTTCTGGCTTTTCAGGAAGCTTCGTTTTGGGGGACTTAATGCTACATGGTGCCCAAGCTGCACTCTCATCCCACACCAGCCTCTCTCCCTGGACACTGTATGTCTGGGCTTGCATGTGGGCTGCTTGCATCCCCACTGGGCTTGGGAGGACCCCAGCTGAGGGGGATATTTCTCAGTGACATTTTTAGTGAGTGGATATTTCTCAAGGACATTTTTAACCCAGGTATGCTGGGGACCCTACAAATGTTTCTCAGAAGGGGGTCGATGTGGTGGCTCAGGCCTGTAATCCTAGCCTTCTGGGAGGCTGAGGCCAGAGGATCATCTAAGGCCCAGAGTTGGGGAAATGTTTCTCAGCAGGGGTGCTGCTGCCCACCGAGTGCCACTGCACCAGGAGCTGGTTCCTACACATCAGGGTGGAGTCAGGTCAGCAGGCCTGCGTTTCAGGGCATAAGGCTTAATTTCTCTGAGCTTTGATTTCCTCACTTATCAGGTGAGGGGTTTAGAAAAGGTGAGTTGCTTTTGGATCAGATATTTAATGCTGTGATTTCTAATCAGTGCCCTTACGGAGCAATTTTCTTTCCCTTTAATTTCGATCCATATGTTCACTTTCCAGGAGGTGTCCACATAACTGTTCAGAAGCCCACCTGGGCTCTTCCTGCCTCTTCTTCTTGGGCCCAGCCGGGGAGGAGGAGGCTGGCTAGGCGTAGAGCACAGATCCCAAAGCCTGCACAGCAGTGCAGCCTTGCTGGCCATGTGCAGATCTGGAACTGCCCTCAGCAGGGCCACAGGGCCAGAGGCCAAGTCGGGGTAGAAAAGAAAGGGTCAGACCCCTCCTCTCCGAAGGGCTCTCTTTGTCCTCTGCCTAATTCTTCCTCCTACCCTGAGAACAGGGTCACTAGCCCTTAAGATAATCAGGCCTCTTTCTGGCCCTTCTCACACTTACAACCCATCTGATTCTCTTCTCTCACAAGCCCTAAGATGATTCTGATTGGGCACGTTCTGTGTGTTTATCAGAACATGAACTGTTCTCAGATGCTTGATTCCCTCCCAGGAGCCCTGTCTGTGAAGTGTACTTTGTGAGGGACACGAGGCAGCCTGGCGAGGGTGAGAGGGGCTGCAGAGTGCTCACTGAAACCACAGCTGTGTGCATGGGACACCAACCACAGGGACTCAGACTGCCACTACAGTGACTGACCAAGGGCCGGAAACGCCACCTGGAGCCATCCTGCGTGGAAGGCAGCAGGGCATAAGCTGTGACTAAATTATCTGGTTTGGATTCAGAATCTGCTGTTGACAAAGCCAGGGACTGGGGCAAAGGTGGCAGAGGGGTACACGAGCTCCCCAAACCATAGGCAATAACAACCACATGAGAGCAGAGATTAGAGGCTGGGAAGCACTGCAGCCGGCCACCTGAGTCGCGATGTGGCCAGCGGTCCCGAGGCCCCTGGGGTGGGGCTGAAGCAGGCCAACTTCATTCTTAGGAGACACATTTAAAAAATTCCCAGCACTGCTCACAGCAGTTTAAGACCAGGGCCTGTGTGAGGGAGGAGCCCCAGGCCTGAGTCCTGGCCCTGCTACTCAAAGGGCTGTGACCTCACGAGACACCCACTCACTCAGAGGCCTCCTCCCAGGCTGTGGGGAGAACACCTTCCTGGCCATCTTGTTGGCCACTCATGGGCAGCATCATGGCCAGCTGGGAACATGACCAGGCTTGTTTTTACCTGAAGCTTTTAGCGCAGTCCGCAGCTCATAGGAGGACATGGTGCCAGACCTGTCAGCATCGAACTGGAGGAAAAGGTTCTGGAGGGAAGGACAGGGGCAGTGATAATGGGGATGCCTGAAAGGCCATATTGATGGCAGTAACTCAGGGACAGCCAGCCCAGAAAGAGCAACCCCCCAGGGGCCACACAGGCTGCGGTCAGGCCAGGCCCTCCTGAAGAAGCTGGTCTCTCTTTTGTCTTCCTTTTCATTCTGGGAGGAGCCTGGTGGCACTACTTCTATAAGAATTGGAATTATACCTGACTTCTCCCGCCACCCCTTCTAGAACATGGATGCTCTGGCCTGCAGCACACCAGCCTCTAAGTGCTATCCGCCCTAGGCTCCCCCAGAGGCCAAGCCCTGTGCCTGGGCTACATACAATCCACTGCTTCAGCCTGTCCCAGAACACTTTGAATTCCTCAAACTCCAGCTTCCCATTGCCGCTGGTCTGTGCGCCTGGTTAAGGGCCATCTGAGCTGCCTTTCAACCTGGGGCTTCAGAGAGGATGCTGATGGGCTGGCTTGGGGGACACAGACGCGGAACCCAGGGAGGTGGTTCTAACAATTAAACCACGAATCTCTGTAGAGAACAAATGGCCTGGCAGGGGGTTGTGGCAGTGACGGAAGGTTCACAAAAACAGGACTCTTGGTTCCCTCACATGGGACCACAAAGTGGCAACAAGATCCCCGAGACCCTTCAAAAATCCCAACCCTGAGCCTCTTCGATTCTGATCCCCAGTTCTGGCCCTGGGGTCCCCAGGTTTTGGCTATTTTCTGTGGAGACTATCCTACGGGTCGAGGCCGTTGTGTCCCACAGAGTCTGTGCTGTGGCACGTGGCTGTCCTGCCCTCAGTGTGCGTGAAGGATACATCCATGAGGGAGATGATGTTCTTACAGGAGATCAGGCTCAGCTTCTTGAATTTGATGTTTTTTTCTGAAATCACACATGAAAGCTGAATTCAGTTGACTCCTGATAAGATAAAACTATGTCCTCTGCTGAAAGCCCCACGCTGTGGCCACGGGTGGGGCTGTGAACTGGACACTCTCGCTCTCACAGTGCTGCCAAGAGCAGAAGCTGACATGGCCTTTCAGAAGGAAAATTGGCAAAATGGAGAAAAAGTCTTAAGAATGGGAAGACTCTTTTACCCACTTATTCTAGTTTTAAGGATCCAAAGCAAAGAATTACACATGCAGATTTTTTAAAATCATCAGGCAGTTTATAACAGCAAAAATTTGGAAATGATATAAATGACCCATGGAGGGTCATGGCCAGTACACGGAGCTGTGTCCACATAATGGAGCGGTACACAGTCCTTGGGCATCATGTTTTTGTTCATGACCTGGGGAAATGTTCATGAAAGTTAAGTTTAAAGGCAGTATTTAAAATTGTTGGAGATAGGTGATCACCCTTACACTGCTGGTGGAAATGTAAAATGGTCACTTTGGAAAATGGTGGGGTAGTCCCTTAAAACGCTAAACATGCAGTTACCATGAGACCCAACAATGCTCTTTAACTATATACCGGAGAGAAATGAAAATATATGCCTACTGAAAACATTGTATATGAGTGTTCACAGCAGTGTCATCGATAATAGCCCCAGACTGCCAACAATCTAAAGGTCCATCAGTGGATGAATGAATAAACAGAACAGGGTATATTCCCACAGTGGAATATTATCTGACTGTAGAAAGGAATGAAACATGGATGCATGCTACAGCATGGATAAACCTCAAAAAAAACCCCACCCCACGAGAAAGGAGCCAGTCAGAAAGGGCCACATGCTATATGATTCCTTCTATCCAGTGGTTCTCAACCTCCCTAATGCCGCGACCGTTTAATACAGTTCCTCATGTTGTACTGACCCCCAACCATAAAATTATTTTTGTTGCTACTTCATAACTGTAGTTTTGCTACTATTATGAATCATAATGTAAATATCTGATATGGAGGATGTATTTTCATTGTTACAAAGGGGTTGCAACCTACAGATTGAGAACCGCTGTTCTATAGAAAATGTTCAGAATAGATTAATCTATAAAATAAAGGGCAGGTTCATGGTTTTCTGGGGCTGGGGGCCATGGGGAGTGACTGTTGGTGGGTACAGGCTTTTTTTCCTTCTGAAACTGATGATGTGTGTGTACACATGTAGACTACATGTATGTACACATGAACACAGACACACGTGTTGACAGTCGTTACTTTTGGTGGTGAGATTATTGGTGATTTTGTCTTTGTCATTTAGGCTTTCCTTCAGCTTCAGTTTTTAGAATTTTTTACCATGAACCTGCATTATTTTTGTAATCAGCACTTATATGTAAACATATAAGTGCTATTTTAAAGTCTCCCTACAAGTCAGTCCCAGGAGGCGGGTCTACAGCTGGAGAGGACCTGGCAGAGTGTTCACTCGTCCTCCAGAAGGGCCCAGGGTCCACCCCTTGGGTGTAGCACTTACTCTTCTGCAGCACGGCATTTAAAATGTATTCAAGTTCCTCTGCTGTCACCTCCATGTCCTGTTGAAATAGAGACAAATGCTTTTCATAGTACTTGGTATCTTTTAAATAGTTTTTAGCAGTTCTAAGCTTGATTTGGCTCAAATCAATAACAAACAAACAAACAAAAAGTTAAGAATTGTCCCCTCTGTCAACTGTTCACTTACTTAACCCAAATAAACCCTTCTAATTAAAAAAAAAAAATCAATAACAGACTGGCCCCCGGGATCCTGCTGGAAGCAGCTGTGCCCACTTCCAACATAGTGGCAGCCACACATATGGTAAGTCACATGCTTCAGGGAAGGACCAGCCCAACCAGGAAAGGGCCTAGCTCACCCAGGAGAGGGCCCAATCCAGGAAAGTGCATAGAAATTGGGCAGGGCGAGGTGGGGCTTGCCCAACTTTCTTGCAGATAAGAACCACTCATGGAATTGTTCCTAAAGCACTCCAGATGGTTACATTAGGAGAATTTTGGGAAAACCAGTATGAGCTTCTGTATGGTAGAATCGCCTGGAGAACGTTAAAATATTCCCACATCTGGGGCTTACCCCAGGGATCATTCACATCAGAAGGGCTCACAGATTATTTTTAAACCTAGAGGTTTATTTAGGTTTAAAACCGGGGCGCATTTGAGAATCACAGATTTAAGGCAATCCTCTGAATCTTGGCATCCACAGCACCAGAAGCCTGTTAGAAATGCAGCATCCCAGGCCCTTCCTCAGACCTCACAGGCCCCCACTTTTCTTGTCCTGTCCTGTGGCTCCCAAATCTCCTTGCCTGGCCTAATTACTGCAGTGCAGTGCCCTGTTAGACATTCACCCCAGGCTTAGGCACCATCACTTTCACACTGCAGGAAGCCAGGCAGGGGACACAGGAGGCTAGCACGGGCATTAGCAGACCCGAGTTCGTTAGCAGGCTTGTTTTACTATTGGCTCCAAAGGAGCACATAACAGACACTTTCTAGAAGGAAGCTGTAGTTTCCACCACCACCTGGCAGGGAAGGATGACCCCAGAACTGCATGAGAGGCCCACCCAGGTCCTCCAGGAGTGCCAGTGCACCCAGCCAAGAAGCTGAGCAGTGGAGAGGGTCGGGAATGGGGTGGAGGCCAAGGACAGGAAACTGCAATTTAATGACAGCTTCCCCAGGTACCACCTTTGACCAGAGCAGAGAGAATATCATAATGACAGCGGTTTGGGGGCAGAGGCCAAAGGAGCCACCTCTTCAAGCCCTTTTCTGTCTTCTCTGGGCTGAATATGAACTTCTCTGGGCTCTCCTGTCCCATTAACAGAGGGGCCTGATGTTGAGTAAGAGATGCCACAAACAAGGTGGCCCTTGGGCCTTCACTGACCTGTGTAGAATAAAAATCAAATCCTAACCCCCAAGTCCCCTGATGACTGAATAAACCCCCTCTTAGCCAAAGGGAACCCAACAAAACCTTAAAGCCAAGTTCCCAGCCATGACGAAAAGGGAGGTTGGACCTGGCTCCTTATACTCCCTCCCTGTTGGAGTTTAGACACAACTGACCAGCATTAGTGTTAAAATCAAGATCACGTGCTTGATAGAACAGACTCTTTGGGGCAATAAGATACTAAATTATAAATAGGACATAAGGCCATGCAAAGCAGAGGTTAAGTGACACCTGCAGGCCCTCGATTTGCTTAACAGACCACTCTGAGTCAGTATAATATGGCTTGCTCCTGGGTTAGCACACTTCCTCTTCTTAACTTAAAATGCTCTAAGCTTTTAGAACAGTGGTTCTCAATCTTCCTAATGCCACAAACCTTTGATACAGTCCAAAGGGGTCACGACCCACAGGTTGAGAACCGCTGTTTTAGACAAAGCTTATTCCTTTAACCAATTACAGGTTAAAGAATCCCTGAACCCACCTATAACCTGTAAGTGCCCTGTCCCTGCTTTGAGATGTCGCATCTTTGGGGGCCAAACCAATGTATACCTTGCACGTTGTGACTTATGAGTCTGCCTGCAATTTCTGTCTCCCTAAAATGTATAAAAACAGATTGTCACCCAACTGCGTGGGGACCACTTGCTCAAGGCTTCTTAGGTGCAGCTCCCTGGATGACAGTTACTCATGATGGGCTCAAGATGAATCCCCTTAATTATTTTACATTTTTTGTGGCTAACATGAGGACTTGTGTTTTAGTCCCCTCCCCGTGCCTCAGAGAGCCACTGCTGACAATAATGCCCTGCTGGGAAGCCAGGCCCGGGGGAGACTAGGCAGGCAACCCACCTCACCAGCAACTTGTTCAAACAGGGCCCGGAACTGCTGCTCCTCATCTGTCTCTTGGTCAGGCGGTGTCGGCTTTGGGGGCTGAAAAGTAACCAAAGAGGTGTGCACAAAAGGACCCACAAAGAAGAAACCTGACGAAAATAGCAGGAAAGGATCTGGAATCTCCTGTGCCCGCCCTGGGCTGCCCTCTCCATGCAGTGCATATGTTGCTGCCTCAACTCCTTGTGTAGGCTCTTGAGAAGGTGAGGCCTTATCAGCCGGACTCACAGAGCCTCGTGGTCTGTAGATGAGGAAGCTAAAGGGAGCCTGGCCCTGCCTGAGCCACTCCACCACCGGCCTGCCGTGCTTCCTGCACTCCCCTAATCTTCTGTTCTAATAGATGGTAAAATCTTTGCGGGCATCAGTCTGTTTATGACACCCAGCCCTCGGCCCAGTGCATGGAAAGAGCTCAGTAAATGTTGCAGGTGATTTGGGGGAAATATTTGGGAAGAACAGCAAGTTTTTGCCTGAAAACAGGTCTCCTCTTGGCCCTGGATGGTCAGAGTGTTCCAGCCACTTGTCAGCACCTCTTTGGAATCTCCTAGCCCTTGGACAAGGGTAAAACCAACCCTGTCCCTTCCTCTCCACACACACACATCACACAGAATACCAGAGACATATGTGCTCCCCTGACTCCGTGTGAAAGAAATCCACCTCCCTCTCCCATTTTCCTTCTATTCATTATTTTTATTAAATGAAATACATTTAAAAGGCATGTGTATTCTATCCCCTTCAGAAGCAGCTGGTGGTTCTTGGGGGGAGCTGGCAGCACAAAGGAGGCCCCGGCATGGCCTCCCCAGCCATGCCCGGCTCTGGGGGCTGGGAAGGCACAGACTTGAACATACAGGTCTGGGTTCTAGGAAGTTGGCGTCACAAATGCTTACCTGACTGTATGTGACAGCTTCCTGCACTTGAGAGTTTAAAGTGACAGTGTGGTGAGGAGGGGGCTTCCAAACAGTCCCCCATGACTTCCAGCAGTGAAAGACTCACCTCAGGAAGATCGACGGCCACGTCCCCATCCAGATCCCTGTAGGGGCAGGAGACACGCGGGGTCAATTGTGGATTAATGTCTCGCCAGGCTCTGCAGAACTGACAGCCCAGAGCTACAGGAAGGTTCTGTCCCACGGAAGCCCTTCTTGTTCGGGGCTGTTGTCAGTTCACAGGGTGTACAGACCCCATGTGTGGACATTCAGACCTTGCCCCTCTCCTGGTCACTCAGACTTTGCCCAGCGTGCGAATAAGAGGAAGACAAGGAGACGCGTCACCCCAGGGAACCTGCAAACTCTGGATATAGAGCAGTAAAAGGCGTGGAGCCCGCAGTCACTCCCTGCTTCCTGGATGTGTGCTGACAAGGACCATTGACGAATTGCCAGTGGAAAAATAGAGACTCCAAAGACCCCTGAGCCAGCAACTTCTTCGCGAAGCTGCAGCCTCCACAGGTGCTACAATTGTCCTGGGGCCAGCCACTCTGCATACTGGGCGTCCGCCACTGGGTAAGTTGAGTCACAACCCCCAAAACTACCTTTTGAAGCCACATCTCTTCCTTTTGTCCCTTCCCCAGAGGTAAATCCTTTATTCCACGAGTTTGTGCACTGGGTTTGGGGAAGAGAGGGAAGATGATGGGCACAGGCTTCTTTTGCCATTCCCATAGTTCCTGGGACCACAGGGTTTGGGCAGTGGTCATGTAAAAACAGGGGCAGTTATCAGCTTTTGTTGAGGCTCAAAACATTTGGAGGAATCTAATCTTACAGATTAACACCCCTGACACTAAGATTGAACCAAGCCGTCCTTTCCCTCAGCAGCCCCCCCAGGTCCATGTAGCAAAGCCCTTCTGGAACTTTGGTTTGTCTGATCGGGACCCTCTCAGAGAGTTAAACCAGTGGAAACAGAACTTGGTGTGGGTTCTCTGCTACCAAGCTATGGAGCTGATTCTAGGCTCAGTATCAGAGCTAATGGAAATATCTTCTTCAAGGCAAGCTTGAGCACAGAGTTAGCTTTGCCATGTACAAGCCACTTCATGAGTGCCAGGAACCCTGACCTCACCCCACTCATGGGACAGAGATCAGGAGACACAGGACTGTGCACTTGTTCTCGCCAGCTATGAGAGGTGCCAGTCTGCACGGACCTCACACGGGGTGTTTTGTGTGAACAGGTAATGGGAAATTCATCCTTAACTTGTACAAGTGTCTAGGAGAAGATTGGAAAAAAATCTCCAGTGGCGTGTTTACAAATTAAAAACTTCACTGCTTCCATTAAACCATGAGAAAAAACCATCCGTTTTGTAATTAGCCTGGGACACCCAATCAGAGTTTGTGAATGGGAGTCTTCTCAATGCAGGCCTTCCACCAGCTCTAACTTGCTGAGCAAAAGACAAAACTAAAGTAGCCCATGCGAACAGTGTCCTTCCCTTGTTCACTCTTGTACGTTGGTCCTCTGCTAGGGATTTATCTAGGTTCAGATACAAAGTCTACAGAATAAGTAGACTTTGCTATCCCTGGCAATCTTTAGAATATTGACACTGGGGAAAGAAATATTCTTCCATCCTGAGCCCTTCTTTTCCCTCAGCCACAGAGCAACCAGTGGCGAATGGGCAGTAATGGGAAACCCTTTCCAAAAAAGGAACTCACCCAAAATAAGTTTGCTAAGACACTGCAGGAAAGAGCTGGCAGCATGTTGAGTTTGTAAAATGATAGGCAGAATGAAAAAGCTTCATGTAAACTGGAGCTGGAAGAATGTGTCATTCTTGAAATTTGCAATAGCCACCCCCTTCATCCCACACAGAATTAAGTCTACGTGCTGTTCTTACCCCAGGAGCTTCTTGGTAACAGAGTCTGAAAAATGAAGAGCTCACCTGAAAGTGTCTTGTGAGCATGATTCTGGGACCAGTAGGAGACAGTATCTATTTTGTTTTGTTTTATGGTTTGAGGGAGGGAAGAGCAGAGATAAAAGGGAGATGTGCCTTGCTTTGCCAATGAGTCAGGAACCACCCTGCCTGTGTGTCTAGTAGATAATGGAAAAGAGAAGAAAGGGATCCTGGCTGCAGTGGTCCATGGTGGCTTCTCTGTGAACAAACCACTCTGTGAAGAGGGATTCTGAGACCTGTTGCTGCGACTCACTGGGTAAGGGCTTTCTTCTCTGAAAAGATTCTCAGACAGAAATCAGCTTCTTGATGGGGCTCGAAAGTGCTAGGGATCACGATGTACTCTCCAGGGGGCAGCTGGAACCGGCCGGAGACCTCTCTCAGGTTGATGAACGTCTTGCTTCTGGCCTGGGAAGCGTGGCATCTGAAGAAGTCTCTGTCGAGGTGTCCATCTTGGCCAGGGTACTGCAACGGAAGAGGAGGGTGGGCTTTCTGGGGAGGCCATGTGTCTGGGCTCTTCTGACAGTCTGGGGACTGGTGTTGAGTCTCAGGCATGAGGCCAAGGAGAAGTGGAGGGTTTAGAACTTAGCGGGAGGACTGTGAGGTGTGGGTTGGTCTCCACTAACCTGGTAAATGGCGTAACCAATAGTCAGCACGTTGGTACCAAATCTCTTGAGTTTCCTTCGATCTTTCTGCATCAGCGCTACGAGGAAAGTGCATTCCTCTTTCCCCTCGTCTTTCTCAGTCAGGGACAATTTTATTTGTGGATTGGTCCAAAAGGTATCTGCCATTTCAGAGAGGGAGATTATCTTCCCTTCCTTAAAAAACAGCACACAAGCAACCAAGGCAAACACACACACATACCCTACCCATCCCACCATATCCTCCCAAACATGAAGAAATAGTTTCTTCTCTCTCCCCATTCCATCCATACCTCTCTCCCTGCTCTCTGTGGGAATGTAGGGCATCCTCTCTTTCATTGCTACTTTCATTTGAACCATTCCCCACAAAGCTTTTAGAAGACATTCTTTCTGGGTCTAGTCTGCTTAAGCTTGTTTCATCTTTTATTTTCCATTTGATATTTTGAAGAACAGTGGACTTCTGATTTTCTGCTAGCATCTGTTTATTTATGGTATGTGATTTGGGTAGAATGAACCTCCTTCCCAGCTTCAAGGGTGAACTCTGATTGGTCCATACCAGGCCCTTTGGCCACTGAGAATTGTAACAGAGCTGATCCCAGCCCACTGCATCCACCAGGCAACACTGATTCAAGGCATTTCCCACTAGAGGGAAGTTGAGGACTTTTGTTTGACAACCTCTAGAATACTGGTTCTCAACCTTCCTAATGCCACAACCCTTTAATACAGTTCCTGTGGGTTGCGACCTACAGTTAAGAACCGCTGCTCTAGAAGCTCTTGCTGTTCATGTGAATTAAAGTTTAGGAAGCCCTGTGTGCTGCTGGCAGCCTTCTGTGATGATAAAGAAAGCCAGAGGGGGGAAGAAGTTAACACAGAAAAGGAGGCAGAGCCCTGATAGAACTGTGCCTGAATCATACTTACTTTTTCTCTTAGCTTTTCAATCATGTAGGACAATCAATCCTTTTTGTTGCTAAACTGGGATGAATTATGTTTTCTATTATTTGTAATGGAAAATAACCTAAGTGATGAAAGAAAGAAGTGTCCCTAAGCAGGTCTTACCAACCACTTACTAAATCTCGGCAGCCTCCTTTTGCTAGTACTTTGTGCAATGTACTGTCTGAATCTATGTTTCAGGCTTTCTTTGGGGTCCTGGCCCTGATCTTCTGATGTCCCTGCGTTGGACAGAAAATTTGACAATGGCAGAGAGAGAAACAGGCAGACTACCTACCCAGGAAATTGCGGCAGCCCCCAGCTGTGGAGCCACGCACCCAACTTCCTTGATGGACCGTCACCTCCCATTTGTGGAGAGTGTCCTCCGCCAGGGCATCAGGAGTGAGGTTGCAGATCTCCACTTTGTCAAAATGGGCCTTGAAATCCTTCCATGCCATCCTGTGACAAGGTGGAGAGGCACAATCCACAGAAGACAGTGAGGACATCACCTGCCCACCCATCCATCCATTCACCCATCTGTCCATTGCATTCATAGGAATTTCCGATCTAATGCCTGTCTCCCAGTGTGGGAGACAGACATTTATTTTTTTTAAGTAAAATAAAGGTTAAAAAAAAAAAGGTAGGAAAAATGTAAAAGTATAGGTTGATAGTATATGATAACTATTATGGAGAGAAGTCAAATTGGGCTGAAGGATGGCGTGCAGGGCAGTACGCTGGCTAGTAAGGGAGGTAAGGGGTGGCCTTACTGATCAGGCATGTGTTGTGCAGAGAGCTGAAGCACCAGGTAGTGGGCAGAGCGGCTCTCCAGGGGTTCCATGCAGAGGGAGAGCAAGGCCCTGAAGAGCACCAAGAAGGTCACAGAGGCTGTCATGAAGTGTCAGTAAGGGAATCTTATCTGGATAAGATCTAGAAGTAATGGGGGGCTAGGTAGGTGTAAGGGCTTTGGTTTTGATGCTGGGAAGATCCAGAGCCATAGGGAGACATTACACAGAGGGGGGACATGATCCATAGCTACTGTGGTGAGCATAGACACAGCTCTCAGGGGCACAGGAGAAGCAGAGACACAGCCGGGAAGTCAGTGCCACTGTCCAGGTGGGAGACAAGGATGACTCAGTCCAGGCTGGTGGCTTGGGAGGTGGTAAACAGTGGCCAGATTTAAGAAATACTTCAAAGTAAATTGTGCAGGTTTTGCTGATGGATTGGATGTGGAGAAGGAAGAGTGAAAGGAGCGAAGATGTTTGGTCTGAGCTGCTGGAAGGATAGAGATGAGACAGACTGTAGTGGAGAAGTTTGGGTGAGAAGCTCAGGAGCTCAGGTTTGGACACATTCATCTTACATGTTTATTAGACACTCAAAGGGAGACACTGGGTAAACTGCTGAATATATGAAGCTGGAGTTCCAGGGAAAGGAGCTGAAGATGGAAACCTGAGAATTATCAGTGTGAGATGGTCTTTAAGTCCCAAGACCAGACGAGACCACCTGAAGAGTGGGAATGGACAGTGAGGATCCACCCAGGGAGACCCTCTCAGCTGCACCTCCCGCTGGGGGGGTCCCAGTTTCCTCTGCCTGCTTTCTGCTTTCTTCTGTGCCACGCCTCCCTTCCTCCAGCTTGACCGCAGACCGACTTTCCACTCTGGTTTCTGCCTCCTGTTTACACTGGGCAATTTGTGTGATGATCCTAACTCAAGACCTCAGCTTCCTGTCCTAATTTTGGCTGTTCACATCTAACTCATTAACTCAGAGCCTTTCTGTACTCAAAATTCAGTTTGCTTTTAATTTCAAATTCAACAGCTTGTAAGTCTCTCAAGCACCCTGAATGTTTTTCCATAAATTTGGGGGACTTAAGTCCTCGTGGTTCCTTAGGCAGAGATAGCTGGTGTCCAGCAGCACAAGGCCAGGCTGCAGCCTGCCCCTTCCTGGGGCGTGAGCAGTGATGTGTTAGTTCTGGGGCAAGACTTTTAGAGAGTGGGAATGTCTTCTCCAATTTTTTCCTTTTTCTTTCTCTTCAGCTGGCTGCATGTAGATAACCATGTGACCCTAGAAGAGGGTAGGACCATACAACAGAAGGAGTTTGGGTCCCTGGATCACTGTGTGGAGAGAGCCACCCACAGAATATGATCATCCTCCTGGGACAGTTCTAATGAGTGAGAAACGTATGTTACTGTGTTTGAGCCTATTTGTTACAGCAGCTGGTGTTACCCTGTAACACCCAGTGTGCTGCAGCACAGTGGTGTATCTAAGAGATAATCTTAGGTGTGCTGCAAAAATGTTTAAAGATCAATAATTAAATTATTTTCAAAAGAAGTTTAAAGCACAGTAGGTATATTCGTGTTTTTATTCTTTGTTTGATCAACATTATTTATGTACGTCATGGAAGTTTAACTACAGGTTCAAGTGTGCTGTGAGATGAAACAGGTTGAAAAACACTGCCCTATGTAATTGGCGCCTTAATTTAGAACTGCCTTCACAAAATTCTAAATTATGTGATGTCGCCTTAGCAATTGGGCAAGAGGGAATGTGGTACAATCTGATAAATTTGTTGCCTGTTTCTATTGTCTGAAAATTTATACATTGAAACCTAATCACTAATGTGATGGTATTAGGAGATGGGACCTTTGGGGAGTGATTAGGTCATGAGGGTGGAACCCTCCTGGATGGTGTTAGTGACCTTATGTAAGAGGCCATTTGGCAGAAAGAGAGCAGAATGGCTCTCTGGCCCCATCAGACTCTGAATCGGCCTAAGTCTTGATGTTGGCCTCTCAGCCTCCAGAACTGTGAGTAGCAAATTTCTGTTGCTTAGAAGCCAGTCTGTGGTATTTCGTTACTGCAGCCTAAGTGGATGAGCATATGGATGGCAGAAAAAGTGACCATTGAGGCTGTGCTCTAGGGGAAAAGAATGGAAAAAGCTGGAATATAAAAAGGATTCTAGAGATAAAGGCCCATTGAAAACTTACAGTCAAACAAAGAGGTTCAGACCAATGGAAAGTCCAGAGTGGGAATGTTACCTCCCCAGTTTGGTATATATTTTCAGCTATGCTCAGGGTAGCAGCTTTCAAAAGTCTCTGTCCCCAGGCTAGGTATGGAGGATATGGGCTGTGTGGCACAGGGCTGCCTTTCTAGAAATTCACTACAAAACCTGGGTGGCTCAGGTGAGGGAAGCCACTGTTGGATTGTGCTAACTCCCTGAGACTTTTAAAACTAATGTAGAGCTTTCAGCCAGAGATGCCAGCTTCCAGGATTTCACCAAAATGACAAACACAAAGGGAAAGAGGAGAGCACCTGATACACGTTCTCTAGGCCTTTTAGGAAACATGGAGTTGTTCCTTTGGCCACATATATGCAAATCTACAAGAAAGGTGATATTGTAGACATCAAGGGAATTCAAAAAGGCAGGCCACACAGTTTTCCATGGCAAAACTAGAAGAGCCTACAATGTTACCCAGCATGCTGTTGGGATTGTTATAAACAAACCAGTTAAGGGCAAGATTCTTGCCAAGAGGATTAATGTTCATATTGAGCATATTAAGCACTCTAAGAGCCGAGATAGCTTCCTGAAACGTGCGAAGGAAAATGATCAGAAAAAGAAGGAAGCCAAAGAGAAAGGTACCTGGGTTCAACTGGAGCGCCAGCCTGCTCCACTCAGAGAAGCCCACTCTGTGAGAACCAACGGAAAGGAGCCTGAGCTCCTTCCTATGAATTCATGGCATAATAAGCATATAACGTAGCACACAGGAGTACCAGTGGACCCATGTTTTTAGGTGCTGAAACCTAGTTATTCCCCATGAACTCATGGCATAATAGGTGTACAGCATAGCACACAGGAACACCAATAGACCCCATGTAATAATGAAATAAGGTGCTGGGACCTCTATCCCATGAATTCAAAAGTCAACCAACGCTTTGTCACAGTCAATGGCAAGGTGCCTCCCTGAGCTACTGGAACCTCTTCCCTGTGAATTCATGGCATGGTAGATAAAAATAATAGCTTACTGCTACTGTAAAAATGGTTCTCGTTCATTCACTAAAAGTGTGATTTTTCCCCCCAAAGACATATTAGAGCAAATTTTAATGTGTCCTAAAAAAAAATAAAATAAAAAATAAAACCAATGTAGAGATGGGGTGTATTCCTGCCAAAACATGACTGAGATTAAATTTCCTGCCAACTGGGGTAGGTGTGACAGGTTGAGACAGATGTATTTGATTTGCCAAAATAAAGCAAGCAGCACGGCGCTCCTCATGCCCAGGTGAGCCCCACACTGGTTATGCAGCTAATGAGAGGTGGAAGCAGAGGTGGCACTGTACCAGAACTCCCCATCATCGAGCGCTGCATGGCACAGACGTTTCTGCTCCGCTGGGCCGACAGAACGCCACTCTGGAGAGCTAGGAGGACACAAAGTCGGAGTTTAGGCAGAGGTCATGCAGAGTGACACTGGCCTGGGTGCAGAGGGATGACCCTCCCCAAGCCCACAGTTGGGGGGAAATAAGTCTTGCTCAGTGACTGCTCACTTGGTCCCAGAAATGTACCAGGTGAGCCAGAGGTCTCCAGATAAGAGGGCTGGTCAGAAAGTACATGTCCTATTGGAACAGGATCCCTCGGGACCATCTTAACTGCTTACACAGATTGTCATGGGCAATCACAAGGCATTGAACACCACCAGCTGGAAGTCACAAGCTGCCTGACTTTTGTCCTTAGCATCTGGCTTGCTATGTGACCTGGAGCAGTGCCTGAGTCCTCTTTTAGTGTATAAACTGATGCTTTGAAAGGCAACAATAATACCACACTTGATGTTTTGTGTATAGCCCCTTCTCTACATGGCCTTTACAGGAAGTCAGGCATGGTTCTGTGAGCTGGCCCCAACTGTCCTTCAGGCAAGACGGCTCACATAGGCCTGAGGACACCTGTTCAGGGAAGAGCTTGGGGGGTGGCTGCCTGTCACCTTCCAGATCAGGAGTTGTAATTCCAAGTTTACTGCATTTTCTGAAACCCCCAGGGCCACTAACAAATTAAGCCACCACTATTGTGGTGCTACAACTGAGGTTTGTTGAACAAAGAGTGCCTTTACCCTGCCTGCATGTGACAGGCAGCCTGGAGGCTGCAAGGGTGGGAATGAGCTTCTTGCCAGCCTCGACTCTCAGCCAAAATGCACTTTCTTTATTTCTGCTTCTGTGTGACAAAAGGAAAACATAATGACCCTTTTTTCTTTGAAAGAAAGGCTGCTATTTGGAAATTAGGGGGCACTGCGTGTCTTAAACATGATGCGGTCTTGTTCATTTCTGCTTCAGTATTTCTCTGTTCTTCCCATTTCTGCCAGGAGAGGGAGGCCGATCTCTTTCCTCTGATGTCGGTCTGTCTGAATCTGTCTCTCCCAACATCTCAGTTCTAAGAGGCACTGTGGGGGTGCCTCGCTGGGGGTGGCGGTGGTTTACCTGCGTGCTCTGCCTCACAGAGGTCAGGTCCATACGGCCATGGCTGTGCCCATATTTGGTGACCTGATGGCTTTGTCTGAACTAGGGCCAAACACCAACTCGGTTTTGCTCAAGTTCTAGACTTGCTTCAGACACCTCTTCAGACCCCTAGGAGCCCTGGATGGGGCGGGGATGGACAGCAGGAGCCAGAGCCAGGACAGGACCCAAGTCAGCCTGGGGAAAAGGGAAGACCAACCACTCCTCCCTCACATGTCCCCGCTCACTCTGGGACCAGCTAGAGAGGCAGGAGAGGACCACTGACCTATCGCTCCATGACCCGTTCCACTCAACCTGGCCCCAGGGGTTCCGGACTCTGATTAATTCAATTTTCTGTTCTTGGAAGTTTACCTGGAAGGGAAATGTGAAATGGTGAATATAGTGGAGGTCTGGCTACATTCATCCCGGATGGATCAACTCTAGTCAAGACTGGTTTTACTGAAAGCTTCTTGGCTAAAACACTGCTGACAATCACAAAAGTTCATCAATTCTTAAGTAGCCCTTGGAACTTTCTAATCGCTGTTGAATATAATTGCTAACATTGCCAATGATATTATATTGATCACCCCAGAATGTTAATGCTACATCTAGGGGATAAAGTAGAATTGCAATTAGCAGGAAATTAGTCCACATGAATCTTCAAACCAATAAGTTTTCTCTCTGGATTTGGAGCACTGTAGAGCAGGGGCCACATCTCATTTATCCTCATGTTTCCTGAGCATTGAGCAGCACAGTCAGTGGTGAGGAGCTGTCCTCAAGTGCACTGGGGGAACTATTACCCACTGCCTTCATCTTCAGTATCCTGCCCACAGATGAACTATAAGAAAATAAACACATGCTGGGAATTTTAATAACAACAATAAACAAAAGTAGTTTCTAAGTCTCCTAAATTCAATATTCTCCTAGTTTCAGGTGTCATGCAAAGATTCCTCCTGTTCAAATTGATAACACTGGGAGCATAAGCCTTCACGCTCTGTTCCAGAGCAGGACGAGGGCCCTTGCACTTGAGAACGGTTTCAGAGGAGACAAAGTAAAAATAAAAGCCTTCTGTTCATCAACTAGCCAGAAACTTTAGCCATCAGAATGCTTTATTCTCGAGCATTTGGCATAAATTGCACTTTTGATGTGTAAGAATAATTCAAGTAATACCAGCTCTCCAGGGTCCATGATGTGGCGTGTGGGTCACCTGTTAAGAAGCTCATTGATTTGAAATGTTCAGAGAGAGAAAGCAAAAACGATTAAACCAAGATGATGAGAGGTGTCTGTTGTCACTTAGAATAATATTTAGAAAATCTAACCTGAAAAATACCATGCCTACTCGGGTGAGTGATGGGAAGGCATCTGTGGACTGGGAAGGAGGATGAGGGAACCAACACAAATAGATACAATTCTAAAGGATCCCAAAGGATCCCAAAGAATCCAGCTCCAGCTCACACCCAGGCCCCCGTGAAGACAGGGCCCCCCTTCTGTGCTCCTTATTCCCCACACATTTGGAGTATGCCACCCAAATCGTGGATGGTGACCAGAGACCAGAGACACCTGTGCCCTCTGCAGACTGGCTTGAGCCTTGCCCAGGGAAGAGAGGGAATGGGAAGAGGTGGCCTCTGTGCTTCCCTGAGCTTGGACTTGGAAAGCTGAAGCTCTGGCTTCTTGTCTTCCTTTTTCAGCCCATTCTCTTCCCTCCATCCCCCCTCATGCCCTTCAAAGATCTCTCTTCCTAACTGACCACTTGCTAGAAGTCAAGTGGTGCTGTGTGGGGTCTGGGCAGCCCCAAGGATCTGTTCCTCCCGGGCTGCAAAGAACGGGACTTGTGAGGATTAATTTTATGTGTTAGCTTGACTGGGCTATAGGGGCTTAGATATTTGCTTAAAGATTATTCTGGGTAGGGCGATGCCTGTGGCTCAAAGGGGTAGGGCACCAGCCCCATATGCTGGAGGTGGTGGGTTCAAACCCAGTCCTGGCTAAAAACTGCAAAAAAAAAAAAAAAATTATTCTGGGTGCGTCTGCAAAGGCGTTTCAGGATGAGAGGAGGTTTCAATGCATAGACTGTGTAAAGCAGTTCGCCCTCCCCAATGTGGGTGGGTCTATCCCACCTGCTGAAGACCTGAACAGAATAAAAGCAGAGAAAAGGAGGGTTTACTCTCTCTTTCAGGCTGGGACTTCTGCTGGTGATCCTAGTTCTCAGTTCTACCTTTCAGACTTAGACTGGAACTAACTTTGCCACGGTCTCTCCTGGGGCTCCTGCTTGCAGACTTCACAGTTGCATGAGCCAATGCACTATAATAAGTCCCATTATACTTGACTCTTGAATAATGTGGGAGTCAGGGTGCTTGACCTCTGCATAGTCAGAAAGCTGTGTATAATTTTTGGGGCTCCCCCCAAACTTAATTACTACGAGCCTACTTGTGACTGGAAGCCTCACTGACAACATAAACAGTTGACTGGCACACATTTTGTGTGATATGTGTATTATATACGGCATACTTAGGATAAAGTAAGCTCAGAAAAAGAAAATGTTGTTACAAACATCATAAGGGAGAGAAAAAATATTTCCTGTTCATTCAGTGGAAGGGGTCTTCATCCTCCTCATCTTGGTGTTGAGTAGGCTGAGGAAGGGGAGGAGGTGGCGGGTCCGTCTTGCTGTCTCAGGGGGGCAGAGGCAGAAGACACCGCACACGCATGTGCACGTGGACCCGTGTAGTCCAAGCCTGTGTTGTTCAAGGTTAACTATACACGTGTACGCGTTGTTCCTTTGTTTGTTTCCCCATTGGTTCTATTTCTCTGGAGAATCCTGACTAATGTGGACTTGAACGAGAAAAGAAACTAAAAGGGAATTCAAAAGAATAAAGACCAAGCCCTCACGCCTGCTGAACAAGTTCGATGCTGTGGTAGAACCACAGTGCTTCTCTCCTGCTTTTCTGTTCGGAATCCCAGCCCTCCTCCTTTAGGTGAGTTGGTCTCTGAGACGTCTAAAAGGCAGACATTTAAACTGCACCAAATTAACACCTAAGGGATTAGCCTTGTCACGTCTCCCCCGTCCCTGCAGCGGGGTCACATCACCTACCTGGTCAATTCCCGTTACAGTGTAGGCATGACCCTTAATAAGACCAAAAGGCGTCCGGGCTTCAGCTTCTGAGGCACTTCTGGTCTAAAACATGAAAAGAACAGCATCAGGCCCATTGTGCAAGTCAAGCCTCCACTTCCCAAGCAGCCCCAGCTCCCTGCCTGGTCAGGTCATATCACATGTCCCAGTCCTTTCTGCTCCCCAGACCACGTGCACGGTTGGCCGTGTGTGTGGGTTACATGAAGCAGGCTCGCAGGCCGACGTGCTTAGCAGTGACAGCCAGCCAGCCCTGTCTCTCTCGGGGGTTTGGGGGAGCCCTCATTCCCAGCCTGAGGTGTGATGACTAGTTCACTTTTTTGTCCCAAACAGAACAATTCAACTGTCACTGTCATTTAGTATGGCATGAGAGAAAACACGATCGCATACCTCCAGGAGATGACCAGAAGTGCGTAACAGCATGGCATGCACAAGCCTGAGCCTGCAGAGGGACTGGGTAACTAACTCATTAGCGGAAAAATCCTCTGCCATAGTTAATCCAAGAGGAAACAGAAAACATGATTTCAAAAAAACCCAGATGAGGCAAAATTATCCAGATGTTGTATATATGGAGAAATTAGAAAAAATACTGTTAGATTTCTCTCTGCTGATTTGGTATATATTTTTCATGGTATATGATGTGGAAAAAAATAAGTTTCAGAAGTATATGGTAAGATTCCATTTTAGTAAAATCAAAGCAACCTACCCCTCTGTGTATGTGTGTGTGTGTTTGATTATGGAGAGTTATGACTATAGGCCATGGTCCGAGTCTCAGGGTGGGCACAGACATGACAGGTGGGGGTATACAACTGTGCCTTTGGACACCTCAAGAATTGTCCATATCTTACTTTTGTGATGGGAGAACCATGAAACAAACACTTGTATTTTAATTAAAACCATGCTTTCTCAATGGTTATGCCCCCCTTGGGTTCTAGGCGCAGATCCCCATCCCAGCATAGTGACTTACATCAATGGAGCAGGCCAGCAGGGAGCCCCTCCTCAAGGCCTTCTCCAGAATCTCATAGAAGTTCTCTGGGGCCTCTTTGGTCAGGAAGGTCTCAGCCACACCTCCAGTGAAGTCTTCCATGGCCTCAATGGCATTGCCACCCTTCAGAGCCTCATAGCTCCCGTTCAGCCTGCAAGGTGACAGAGAACCGGGGGCTTTGGTGGGGCCCCAGCTAGGCCACCAGGATGCCCTTCAGCAGGGCTTGTCCTAGCTAAGCCCCAGCTGCAGTGTGGGAGGAAGCCGGGGAGCAAGGGTCAGGGCTTGCTGGGTGCTCGGAAGAAGGGGAAGAGCCAGAGCTCCCTGCATGGAGGCAGCATGGTGTGGTGTAGAGCAGGAGTGCTGGTCTCTGACTGGCTGCAGGTTCAATCCCAAGGCTTCCCCCAAAGACCTTTGGCCAAGTCACTTATTTGATGCCTCAGCTTTCTTCTTTGCAAAGTAGGGGCAACGGTTGTGCTCTCTGGGACTGCTGTGTGGTTTATTTTTATTTATTTATTTTAAGGTGTACTTTTAGCATTCATAAATTTATTTATTGCAATTCTTCTCCTTCTTCTTTTTTTTTTTTTTTTTGAGACAGACCTGTCACCTGACTTAGTGTAGTGACATCATCATAGCTCGCCACAATCTCCAACTCTTGGGCTCAAGTGATCCTCCTGCCTCAGCCTCCAGAGTAGCTGGGACTACTAGTGTCTGCCACTCCAACCAGCTAATATTTTCTATCTTTAGTAGTCTTTAGTAGTCTTGCTCTTGCTCAGGATGGCCTCCAACTCCTGACCTCAAATGGTCCTTCCACCTCAGCCTCCCAGAGAGCTAGGTTTACAGATGTGAGCCACCGTACCTTTTTTGTTTTTGTATATGTTTCTGGTATATAATGATGTTTTGATGTACAGAGTGAAATGATTACAATAGTCAAGAAAATTACCATGCTGTGAAGTTTAAACCATGTGTCTTACCCTGTAATCTCACACAGGAGTGGGGACTGACCACGAGGATGTTAGGGAGTCGAGGGCCTTTTTGTTCCCTTCTGATCTCACATGCTCCCAGCTGTACATTTTGTTCACAGTTATCTTTTATTCGTGTGCACTTGGTCTTTTATGTCTGTGCACTCCTCTTGATTTTTTATACTTGCTCCCAAGCCAAAAGGCCAAGAAGGGATCTTGATTTTAAATAAACATTTCAATTTAGAACAGCTTTTTCATTGTTAACATCTTACCTTAGCATGGTTACATTATTGCAATAACTAAGCCAATTCATCATTATTCGCTAATATTCGTAGTTTATCCAGATTTCCTTAGTTTTTACTTAACGTCTTTCTTCTGTTCCAGGATCCCACTGAGGACATCATGTTGGAGGGAGTCATCATGTCTCCTTAGGTTCCTCATGTCTGGGATGCTTTCTAAGATTTTGCTTATTTCTGATGACCTCAACAGTAGTGATCAGGCATATTGAAAGATGGCCCTCTATTAGAATTTGTCTGAAATTTTGTGGATGGCTATCCAATCAGGGGAGGAAGACCACAGAGGTAAAGGGCCCTTCTCATCACACCATATCAAGGGCACATACTATCCACGTGATGCTGGCTTCTATCACCTGGTGAGGGCACTGCTTGTCAGGTTTCTCTGCTGAAAATTTCTCCTCTACTCCTCTTCCCATACTATACTGTTCAGAAGGAAATCACGTGGTGTGGCCCACTTTTAAAGAATGGAGAGCTATGCTCTACCTCCTTAAGGGTGGAACATAATACATAATTTATTTGGAATTATTTTGTATGAGAGATTTGTCCTTTCTCCTCCATTTATTCAATCGCTGATTTAAATCAGTATAAACATATTGATATTTATTTTCTACTTAGGTTTACAATCCAATGCTGCTTTATTTTGTTGGTCAAGTTGTTCTGGCTTTGGCTGTTTAGAGCCAAATTAGCCTTGAATTAGCTGCTGTGTCCCCTTGACATAACCCCATCTACATGTGCATGTGTGTGCACATGTGTGTACATGTATGTGTGCACATTTGTGTGTGAACATGAGTATGTGCATGTGCGAGTGTGTGTGTGTTCTCACTCTCTGGCACTATAAGGTGCCCTAGCCTCAGCATTCCTTGCCCTGGTCCTAGAATCAGCCTTCTCTCTAGGGAGCCCTGGCTCCTTTTATTAGACAGTGATCTTAGAAACCAAGACTTGAGAGGCAGGTGTGATGCCATTCTTTCTAGGGCCTCTTAGCTGACAAAGCAAGGAGACACATGGGTGTCTGATAACTCATGTATGTACATGTATCTATATGCATCCATCTCTGTGATGGTGGACCTGAGTTCATGCTGGTGAGTCCAGGTCTCACCCATTACCACATGGACCATTCTGGCCTCCTCCTCTTGCCTGCCCATAACCTCCCAACCAACTGTGAGAAACCGAGCTCCCTCACCCGTTTACTTGGTGGTTCAAATCAGTACTCATACATAGTTGTATCAGAATTGTTTCTTGTGGCTTGGCACCTGTGGCTCAAGCGGCTGAGGCGCCAGCCACATACACCTAAGGTGTTGGGTTCGTATCCAGCCCAGGCCTGCCAAACAACAATGACGACTGCAACCAAAAAATAACAAGCGGGCGTTGTGGTGGGCGCCTGTGGTCCCAGCTACTTGGGAGGCTGAGGCGGAGGAGGAGACTCACTTGAGCCCAGGAGTTGGAGGTTGCTGTGAGCTGTGATGCCACAGCACTCCACCCAGGGGGACAGCTTGAGGCTCTGTCTCAAAAAAAAAAAAAAATTGTTTCTTGTACACTTGAGAGAACAACCTTATCAATTAGAGTCCAGTGTCCGTGCCCAGTTTCTTTGGCCTCTGGACTTTCAGACTTCACTCATTTCCAGAGTTACTTAGGTCAGCACCTTTCTTTCCTCCCTCATCCCCATGGGTGAGGTTGTTTCATGCCTTTGTAATCCAGTTAGATTATTTCTTTTTTTTTATCTTAAATTAATATTAGGGTACAAATTTTTAAGTTACATAGTTCTCACTTATAGGGTAAAGTTCCAATTGTAAAAGAGCCCCTCACCCAGGGGGCATGTTAGACACCCTCACTACGTGCACAGTAGGTGAGATCCCGTCTCATGCCCTCCCTCCTTCTGACAATTGTCCTCCCCCTTTCTGCCTCCCTATACCCCATACTAGACTATATTTGTGTTTTATTATTCATATGAGCATGTAATTTTTTTATATATTGGTTTAATATTAGTTTGGAGTACATTAGATATTTATTTTTCCATTCTATTGCAATACTTTACTAAGAAGGAGGTATTTCAACTCCATCCAGGTAAATGTAAAAGCTTTAAAGTCTCCATATTTTTAATGGCTGAATAACATTCCATGGTATACATAAACCAAAGTTTGTTGATTCATTTATGGGTTGATGGGCACTTAGGTTGCTTCCACAACTTGGCAATTATGAATTGAACCACAATAAACATTCTGGTACAAATGTGTTTGTGGTAAAATGATTTTTGTTCTTCTGGGTAGATACCTAGTAATGGGATTGCAGGGTCAAATGGAAAGTCTACTTTTAGATCTTTGAGGATTCTCATACTTCTCTCCAAAAAAGCTGTATTAGTTTGCAATCCCACCAGCAGTGTAGAAGTGTTCCCTTCTCTCCACATCCACGCCAGAATCTGTTGTTTTGGGACTTTGTGATGTGAGCTAATCTTGCTGGGGTTAGGTGATATCTTAGAGTGGTTTTGATTTGCATTTCTCTGGTGATTAAAGATGATGAGTGTTTTTTCATGTGTTTCTTGGCCATTCATCTGTCATCCTCAGAGATGTTTCTGTTCAAATCATTTGCCCACTTATAGAGAGGGTTGTTTGAACTTTTCTTATTGTTTCATTTGTGTTCTCTGTGGATGCCATTTGTCAGGCCTTTGTCAGATTCATAGCATGCAAAAATCTTCCCCTATTCTGAAGGATGGTTGTTTGCTTTGTTTGTGGTATCCTTAGCTGTGCAAAACTTTTTAGCTTGATCAAATTCCAATTATTTATTTTTGGTGTTGCTGCAATTACCAGGGCACTCTTCCTCATGGAGTTTTTTCCCAGGTCAATATCTTCTTCTTCTTCTTCTTCTTTTTTTTTTTTTTTGCAGTTTTTGGCCAGGGCTGGGCTTGAACCTGCCACCTCCGGCATATGGGGCCAGTGCCCTACTCCTTTGAGCTGCAGGCGCTGCCCCCTAGGCCAACATCTTCAAGTGTTTTCCCCACACTCTCTTCTACAATTTCTATTGTTTCATGTCTTTAATTTAAATCTTTTAACCAGTAAAAATCAATGTTCGTCAATGACGAGATGTGTGGGTCCAGTTTCAGTCTTCTACGTGTGTATAACCAATTCTCCCAGCACCATTTGTTAAATAGGATTCTTTTCCCCAGTGCATGTTTTTTGTTAGTGCTTTTTCAAGATCAAATGACAATAAGTGGCTGGATTTATCTCTAGATTCTCTATCATATTTCATTTATCTACATCTCTATTTTTGTGCCAGTACCATGCTGTTTTGATCACTATTGACTTGTAGTATAATCTGAAATCTGGCAACGTGATGCCTCCAAATTTGTTTTTATTTCTAAGAACAGTATTTGCTATTCGGGATTTTTTTCTGGTTCCATATGAAATGAAGTACTGTTTATTCCAGTTCTTTAAAGTATGATATTGGTGCTTTGATCAGGATTGCATTAAATCTATAGATTGCTTTGGGTAGTATGGACATTTTAACAATGTTGATCTTCCCAGCCGTGAGCATGGTATGTTCTTCCATTTGTTGACATCTTCTGTGATTTCCTTTCTCAAAGTTTTATAATTCTCTTTGTAGAAATCTTTCACATCTTTTGTTAGATATATTCCCAGGTATTTCATCTTCTTTGGCACTATTGTAAAAGGAATAGAGCCTTTGATTTTATTCTTGGCTTGACAGTTGTTGCACCCCGAGATGCTGCTATATTTCTCGATCACTTCTAAGAGCTTCATAGTTGAGTCCCTGGGGTTTTCCAGGTATGAGATCATGTCATCTGCAAAGAGGGAGATTTGACCTCTTTTGTCCCCATTTGAATTCCTTTTATACCCTTCTCTTGCCTGATTGTGATGGTTAAGACTTGCAACATTATTTTAAATAAC